GTAGTTTGGACACCCCTGCCCTAGATGATCTGCTAATATACAATTCATGAAACTGGGCATCTGTGAGATTACTGTGGCTGGCTGTATCATTTCCCTCATGTTGTTCTGTTTGTGTTAATGCCTAATACATTCTCTTTTACCCCAAACATGACTGAGAACTGAGTCTGGGTTTGTAGTATTATTGTCTATCTACATAATTAACTATCCCTTAAAAAAGGGGATTGAACTTCCAGGATCCCAAAATCCTTTGAAACTTACTGATACATTGAAGGCCAAGTTGGGTGATAACTGAACATGCCAAACAGAATGATTGTGTAAAAGGGACATCTTAAAGATGTTTATCGGATGTTTGATAAGATGTTCAAGCAATCTTTAAAAGACATTTTGCAGATATACTGTACATGTGCTATCTGGGATAATAAACTCAGAACAGAGACACTTGAACATATAGGAGATTCAAGATACTTTTTTGACTGATTTTAATGCTAGGCCTACCAAATTTGAGGAAGAAATGTGTAGTCTGTTAAATGCAATCTTCAAACATTGATAGTTTATTCATTTGTACAGTGTGTTTTGCATTTTTACCAAAATCACGTGCCTTTTGGCTGAGACTCACTCCAAAGACAACATTGAAACAATCACAAGAAGAAATCAAGGTATTAATAAGTAAAGCTGAAATTATGAGATTAATAACAATAATATAGAAATAAAAAAGGAAATTAATGTGAGATAATGGAATAAAAGAAAGACATTTATACCAAGTCCATGACTTTGGGGGATGAGAGAATTAAATATGGCAATAGAGACTGAGAAAAATACAGTTTGCACAAAATAGGGAAACAAGAAACTGGTAATTATGACAAATGTGTACACCCAGAAACAGTAAAGCATTCTAAAATGTATTGTATATGACAGTGGAAGACTGCCTGTCTGAGGAGAATTATTATATTCTAAATGATTTTAGCAAAACGGATCAAGGCAATAAAGAGTATATGAGGAAATGTTTACATATTTTAAAAAGATAACATAAATAATATAGAAGCATTTAGATTTTTGCTCTCTCTCCTTTCCTCTCATTACTTTATCCCCTTACTAAACTGTGCGCTCCGCACTCCTGACCAGTAGGTGGCGCAAATGTGCCTTTTACACTGGTTTCCCACATTTTTTTATTTTTTTAATCTTTCCAAACTAAAAGATTTTCAAAGTTTTTGAAGCATTACAAATCTGTTTTTTTTTAAGCAATCATTATTTACATCTGCAAAACATGCATTCAGAGGACCAGGAAGAACATAAATCGGTAAAGATAGACTTTATTGAAGATTACAGTGAGATTAAAGGTGATCCAGACCCCTTCAGAGTGAAGTATGAAGATACGAAAGAACCAATAGGTTGGTGTTTATTCTTGATTCTTCAGTAATGATGCTGTGAAATATTAGAGTTATAAAACTTAAAGCAATTCTTCAGATTTAATGGTTGTAGTCTGTCCATTGGGCTTAAATGCAGTGGTCGAATTGTAAAAAATAACTTTCAGGCGGGATGGTGTGGTGTTTCTTTGATGGAGTGTCTGGGAACTATAAACAATGCTTACAAAATTTGTCTCATTTTAAAACACATTTTTATTTAATTAAAAAACAATTGTATTAAATGAACGATGATTTAAAGAGGTCATATGATGCAATTTCAATTTTTCCTTTCTCTCTGGAGTGTTACAAGCTCTTGGTGCATAAAGAAGATCTGTAAAGTTGCAAAGACTAAAGTCTCAAATCCAAAGAGATATTCTTTATAAAAGTTAAGAGTCAACCACGCCCACCTCGTTCTAACACGCCCCCACATACCTACGTCACGATGTGGGAAGATTTGCATAACGCCGCCCAAATGTCCCTGCAAAGAAAGAAGGCGTAACTTTGATTCTTGCTGTAGTATTGTTGTTGCCGTGTGTTTCGTTGTGAAAGCGAAACAAATTTATTTGGCCTTCGAAAAGAGGACGATATCGCTTCGTCATGCCTAGAGCTGATCTGTAATCTACGCCCCTGCAATCAAGTATGCATGCACTGACGATCTGATATAGGAACGATCTTCATTTATGGGGTGCTCTTTCATTATTGCACTAATTTTACGTTTTTAATGCTGCAGCAATGGATGTGGACATCAGTGTATGCCTCCATATAAAGGCATTTATATTGTTATACTAATGTGAATTTAAATTTAGTTTTTAAAATAACATTTTTAAATGCAGTGAGGCATTCAGTGATCTGCTTTCTCTAACATGTTTGTATAACAGAAAAACCAGGAGTGTGTCCAAAAATCAATCTTGAAGATGACATGATAGGAGTGTGTGCTGAGTTGTGTTCCCAAGATGGTCATTGTCCGAATGATGAGAAATGCTGCAGCAATGGATGTGGACATCAGTGTATGGCTGTATCTAAAGGTGCATTATATTAATGCATTGGTCAGATTTTTTTCCCGTATTACAGTGATTGATTCAGCATTCAGTGATCTGGTTTCCCTGTTGTGTGTTTGTATAACAGTAAAGCCAGGAGTGTGTCCAAAGAGATTCCTTGGAGTAGGATTGTGTAAAGGGTTGTGTGTCAATGACATTGACTGTCCGAAAGATGAAAAATGCTGCAGTACTAAATGTGGGTTCAAATGTACACCTCCATATAAAGGTATTCGTTATATTGATGCTTGGGTCCCCGACACGCACGTTTGAGTTTTATAATTTCCAATGGCAAAGTAACTGAATTTGGCCCATAACACCATTTCAAGCACATAGTTTTTCAAAATGATTAATACAATTTGAAATGACTTCCTCTAAAAGTCAAACTTGTTCATGTTTTGTGATGCGTTTATGAGTTTGAATGCATCTAAATGAACAGACTAATTCTGATTATCTGTGTCCATGCAGTGAGGCCTGGTCTATGTCTCAAACCAAATGTGTGCTGATAACTCTTCCCATGATGATCCGTATCCTGCCAGACAGAAGTGTTGCCTAACCACCTGTGCATGCAGCGAACCATGCCAGTTTAGCCATCGGGAAAAAGTCCTCGATTGTTCGCTGAGTTTTTCTTTTTTTGTCCATGCTATACTTGATCTTTTCAATTCATTAAATCTCATAGCTTAGTGAAACTTCTGTGTGTGTGTGTGTGTGTGTGTGTGTATAAATAATAAATGTTGTTGGGGTGACGTACAAATCTACCAGAAATAAACCAAGAATGCGGGGTAACCCTAACGGGAGAGAAATGTAGTATGTGTAAACACCGGGTTAATGGTTTTGAAAATTCAGTATATAGCGAGTCAATATGCCTCTAAACACTCCAGATTTGGTGAAATGGGGTTTTAGTTTTTTTTGTTTTTTAAATCTAGTCCTGATGACTAAAATGCTTGTATATTAATGCATGTATACTAATATATATAATGTACTTTTGACTCATTCTTTTTCTTAAAATTTGATTTAAAAGGCTAAAAAGTTAAGTTGATCATTTTTATAAAACTGATTTTGTGAAAACATACCCTGCTCACAGGTAATTTGTGTAGGTCTCCAAAAAGGTTTTATTGATTTATTTTTTCCTTTTCAAGCAAGTAGTAGGCAGCTGACTAAAAAGGTAATAAAGGTAATAAACCCTGCACCCTCTGACTAAAAGCAGACTGAAGCACCAGAAAAGACACACACACAATTCCTTTTCCCCCACTGGACCTTACAACGCTCTGGCTATTATACGAAGTCAGTTGTTCTAATTTTATAAAAAAAATTAAGTTAAATGTGTCAATTTACTCTCCTTCATGTCATTCCAAGTATGTATGGCTTTCTTCTGTGGAAACACCAGAGAAGATATTTTGAAAAATGTCTCTGCGTCTGATTAATTGCCAGTTTTTTTTTTGTTTGTTGTTTTTTAAATGGTCCACACACTAAAAAACATAAAATGAATTTTTTTTAAAAACGGTTTAAAACCGGTTGAGATTACATGAGTAAATAAATGACAATTTTTATTTTTGGGTGAACTTTCGTGTTAAGGCGTTTAGCACATTTAAGCAACTTCAAAAAGTTTTGAAAGTTAAGTTAGACTATACCATTTAAGTTGCATTGATCTACAAGCAATCTACAGGTGCATCTCAAATTAGAATGTCGTGGAAAAGTTCATTTATTTCAGTAATTCAACTCAAATTGTGAAACTCGTGTATTAAATAAATTCAGTGCACACAGACTGAAGTAGTTTAAGTCTTTGGTTCTTTTAATTGTGATGATTTTGGCTCACATTTAACAAAAACCCACCAATTCACTCTCTCAACAAATTAGAATACTTCATAAGACCAATAAAACATTTTTAGTGAATAGTTGGCCTTCTGGAAAGTATGTTAATTTACTGTACACGTACTCAATACTTGGTAGGGGCTCCTTTTGTTTTAATTACTGCCTCAATTCGGCATGGCATGGAGGTGATCAGTTTGTGGCACTGCTGAGGTGGTATGGAAGCCCAGGTGTCTTTGACAGTGGCCTTCACCTCATCTGCATTTTTTGGTCTCTTGTATCTGATTTTCCTCTTGACAATACCACCAGGTCTGGTGAGCTTGCAGGCCAGTCAAGCACACCAACACCATGGTCATTTAACCAACTTTTGGTGCTTTTGGCAGTGTGGGCAGGTGCCAAATCTAGAAAGCGCTTCTGGATTAAGACAGCGATTTCTAAAGTTCATATTTTGGGCTCATCTGTTTTTCCACACATATTATGCTTTATTAGTAAGATGTGTGTACAGAATGTGGTCTTTAAATATCACTGTCTCGGTGCATTAAGCGTGTTCTTTATATGAGAGGAAAATACTTAAACGCGTTGCGTTCACATTTTGATTTTATATGAATATCTGCACATAGTATATGCTTTACAATTTTGTCTTTATCACTGTCTTGGTACATTAAGCCACTTTAAACATTTTAGAAAGTCCCCTGTTCAAATTCTGCTAATTCACAAGCCTAGTGAGAGTGAGTAATGCTCACAAAGATTATGTTAACTATTAAACCAACCAAATCAAAACTTTCAAAAACACACATCAATGTGATTCTTTTATTGAGTGAGAGTCAGTGGGTTTAATCAGTGACATTAACAGATTTACTATTCGCCGTCTTCTCCGCGACCTCATTCCCTTGGTGTTTTTACACATAGAAAAGGCGAAAAAACATATAACATTGTCCATTTTTCTCTCAGAACGATGATCTGAGTTACTATTGCAATTATCGATGCAGCATGAATGACATACACCGTTGACATTTTTCACAATCACGACAAACAATCAAATACTGCCCTAAACTCAATAGCGGAAAGGCAGCGCTATCCTGCAAGTATGGCGGATAAACAAAGCAGTTTCCCAGAACTCAATGCGGCGTTACGTCACATTCTCATTCCTAATTGGTGGGTTTTTGTTGAATGTGAGCCAAAATCATCACAATTAAAAGAACCAAAGACTTAAACTACTTCAGTCTGTGTGCATTGAATTTATTTAATATACGAGTTTCTCAATTTGAGTTGAATTACTGAAATAAATGAACTTTTCCATGACATTCTAATTTATTGAGATGCACCTGTATGTAGTCGTTTAATAGCCGTCTAATTGATGACTAATCTATAAATGGGCTATGATTAGACGTCTATTAGATTTTCACTAGCAGCCCAAATTTAGCCTCGTTTTAGCCTAGACGTCTAGGCTATATTTAGACGTATATGCAAAATTGCTTGCTGGGATGTGATATCTTCTATCCGTATACACACACACACACACACACACACACACGTGAAAATGCGTATTTTTCAATTAAAGACTGCTTATAGATTTAATATGGGCTGCTTTTGGTGCTTACACCTTTTTATTGGTCATTTTGTGTTTCAAGAATAAGGTCCAAGGTTAAGAATTATGCTATTTGTTACTTAAATATAAAATGTTTTTCTCTATTTAACAACATTACAATACAACTTCACTTACTGATCACGTCTCTTGCGCGGCGGGATGTTGGACTCATGAAAAATAATCACGTAGTTTGTATTCACCAAAACTGATTTACTGAAGTGAAAACACGGACGGAATTTGCGTTAGCTCGAGCCCACTTGCTGTGAGGCGGGAGCGACCAGCCGGCAGAGGATTCCGCAGCATTCCTCGAACAGTTATGTTCACGATTTCTGATTTACTTAACGTATACTGCGTGAGGGGGGCCGTGATTGGATGATGGCAGGTATCGGTGATCATTCTCAAGTGATCAGCACTGCTGCTGTTGTATCAGTCAGTGGTTAGATCAGCGTAGCAGTCAAAAAACGGGACAAGGGAAGTCACGTAGGCTACGGGACAAATCAATTAGGCCCAAAATACGGGATGTCCCGGCTAATACGGGACAGTTAGCAACCCTAACAACAACGTTTGTCAGGCATCTACATTGTCATCTGAGGAGATTACAAAGATTAAACGAGTGTTTTTTAAACTCTAAAACATGAAATGTGGAGTTATCTGCTGTTGCAGTTATCTGCTTTTGCTATAACACAAACTTTTAAAACTCTGAAAGAAAACACAAAAGATACAAAAGGACAAATGCTTTAGTACAGGGGTGTCAAATTCAGCTCCTGAAGGGCCACCTGCAGTGTTTTTCTCTAACCCCAATTAAACACACCTGAACAAGCTAATCGAGGTCTTCAGGATGACTAGAAACATCCAGGCAGGTGTGGTGGAACTGGTTGGTGCTACACCGGCCATTTAGTCTTAGAGGGAGATGTTTAGATATCAGCATTTACCGCTAAAGAAAACCAAAGAAAACAGCAATAATTAACAATAACTGTTGTCATAATATTGCAGCCCAAGTTCCTATTTTTTAAAGGTAGAATATACAATTTTAAATATTTTGTTACTGGTAACAGTCTCGATCAATTTTAGTAATTGCTAAATTTAAGTATTTGACATTAAAGATGACACAGATACAATTAATAAGGTAGGCTAATGATAATGAAGATTGCCCTAAAGGTAAAAAAAAAAAAATGCCCCTGGAAATCAGTCCCATGGGGAAAATATTACCCCTTAATGGAAAAGTTTATTTCTGACCCTGGAACATATAATGCAGACGTAATAGTGCTTTCAGGGTTTGTATTTATGAGTTGGGAAGCAATGTATATGTTGTCAGTATACTAGACCCCACTCTTTGAGCCACCGACCTTTGGGTTACAAGTCCGACTCTCTAACCATTAGGCCAAGACTGCTCCATGTATAAATGAAGAGTTCATTTGCAAAAACGATAACTCATTTTCAGAAATCACGTTTTTTTTATATTGCTCTTTCAAAGTAATTTCAATCAAACTGCAGTTGGGTTGTTTTGATTAAGTTATAATAACTTAAACAAATACAGGTAATTTACAAAATAAAGTTAATTGAAAATATGTTTTTTTTTTACATATTAAACAGG